TTCCTTTTTAAGTACACAGCTGGCAGTGCTAGAAGCAGATGGCTCATAAGACGGCACACTCTCGTTCTCTCATTTTCCACTGTGTACTTCCTCTACCAGCTTTCATAATGGTATGTATGTAACATTACTGCTCCTGTCTACAAGCTATCAAAAGGTATAGTTTAACTGCTTGTCATTTACATACATATTCGTCAGACATCACAACAGTGGTTCTTATAATTAGCCCAACCCATTACTTCTAACTGTTCTTGATGCTAGATTCTTGAAATAAGACAATGGATTTAAGACTAGACACATGAAGCCCATACCTGAGCAAAAAATATTTGCGGTGCATGTAGAATCAGTTACTGCATGATCATATCCTGAAGGCATAAACCTTTTGTGGCAAGCAAGGTAGGTACAAACTTTAGAAGCTGTTTTTCTTTTGTTTGTTTTTGTTTTTAAGTAAACAAGACTACAGTGGTACCTCGGGTTACATACACTTCAGGTTACAGACTCCACTAACCCAGAAATAGTACCTTGGGTTAAGAACTTTGCTTCAGGATGAGAACAGAAATTGTGCTCTAGCGGCGCAGCAGCAGCAGAAGGCCCCATTAACTAAAGTGGTGCTTCAGATTAAGAACAGTTTCAGATTAAGAACAGACCTCCGGAACGAATTAAGTACTTAACCCGAGGTACCACTGTATATGAATCACATTCTGATTTTTAGAATTTCTGTAAGTATTTTTAAATTATATTTATTTAAAAGAAAATCTGAATATAATACAAGCATGTCAAAGACTAAAATTATAACTTCATCATAAAAATGAATCATGGCCCTTTTCTCTCACATGCAACAAGTTAAGAGGCTGTTTTCTTTGTAAAAAAGAACCAGGGGGAGAAAAATGTCTGAGGACCACTGAGGTTAAGCATTATGAATGACACAAAAAGCCATGTATTGTATTGTGTTATTGTAGGTATGCTATGGGACCCAGGCAGCCACAAGTCATCACAGGCATACAGTCTTACCAACATCATTAGCTGAAAACATATGGATAATCTCACTCCTATTTATGCTCCCTTAACTATCCAAAAGCTATAATGGGTTCAGTTCTCAAACTTGTTGTTACGTTGTTGGGAAGTGCCAACAACGTAATGTCAAGCCTCAATGCATCAGGGATGGGTTCCCCACCTAGAATTCTCCCCAGCTTCCCATTTGCTAGATAAGGAACCTTTCCCATAATCACACTGGGTCTTGACTGCCCAGTTTGGAAGGCTTTCAAAATTCAGCACGGCGCCACAATCAATATCCTATCCCTCTCTCTGGCAGGTGAGGGGCACAGTTGGTGTCAAACACAAATTCTGGGTGGCTACCAAAGCCAAACAGAATTTAAGACTCCTGATTCATAACCTTTCATTTGTACAGAGATGGAAAAGACAGAAATCTCACTCACACTGTAATATACGTATACACTGCTGAAGTTTGTCGTTGCCCAATTTGGATTGTGTATGAACTCTGGTAGACCAAAATGCTTCTTTCAATTTGAGGGCACGCATTATGGCCCAATTTCTTCTCTGGCTGAGATTCTAATAACCCAGTTCCTTCACTCTCCCTATTAGATAAGCTGATGTTGGAGATGGAGGAGATGTTGGAGATAGGGGGTCCTCAGGAGATTGGGAGTGGGATTGGTCCACATGCTATTCCTGATGTCAATGGGTGTGTGAAATGGGTTTGCTGAGATTCATAAATAAAGGTAAAGGTACCCCTGCCCATAAGGGCCAGTCGTGTCCGACTCTAGGGTTGTGCGCCCATCTCACTTAAGAGGCCGGGGGCCAGCGCTGTCTGGAGACACTTCCGGGTCACCTGGCCAGCATGACGAAGCTGCTCTGGCAAGCCAGCACCAGCGCAGCACACGGAAACGCCATTTACCTTCCCGCTATAAAGCGGTACCTATTTATTTACTTGCACTTAGGGGTGCTTTCGAACTGCTAGGTGGGCAGGAGCTGGGACCGAAAGACGGGAGCTCACCCCGCTGGGGGGATTTGAACTGCCGACCATACGATCGGCAAGTCCTAGGCACTGTGGTTTTACCCACAGCGCCACCTGCGTCCCTGAGATTCATAAATAGGCAAAGGATAATTTCCCTTTTGGGGGGCAGGGGAGTAATAGTTTTGTTTAATCAGACTGAGGAGGAAGGGGCTCACAAATCACATTCAGCAGCGCAAAGGACATGTAGACACATGATCAAAGGGCTTGGATTATGCTCCTAGTTTGTGTAAAGGCAGTCTATTAAATTACAAACCAATATGCTTTAAAGCAGTTGGAGTGCACGTGTGTTTAGGGCATGTATACAGATTTCTAAGAGAACTGTGGTCTAAGCTACCTCAATTTAAATCCAACCACTTGGCTGCCAAGCAATTGGACACGAAACATAGTAACAAGGTACCTAAACAGTTGCATTAAATACGTTCAAGTAATGGGATCCTGAATAGGTAAACTTGCACCAAATGCTATGGTGCTGTTATTCCACTGCACCCATATAGACTTGAGTTCTTCAGTTTTCTCCTAATGCTGCTGAGCTACACCTAGAAAAAGTTCCAGTCTGCATTTGGTGTAATTTATAGGAATAAAACTCCCTTCTGGTTTTGTTGCAGTCTGAACTAAGCCCTTTGTTTAAATCGGGGATAAGGAAGCAGTGGCCAGATGTTGCTGGATTCCAGTTCTATCATTCCTGCTGGCTGAAGGAAGTCCAGCAACATCTGGAGGACCATAGGTTCCCCACCCCTGGTTTAAATGGCCAAGAAAAGGAAAATCCCGCTTCAACTATCTGCTTACTCCATGTGAGCAGCTGCAAATACAAGACACACAGGCCAATCCTATGCATGTTTAATTGGAAGCAAGTCTCAATGACTTCCAGAGAACTTACTCCCAAACACTATATGCACAGGATTACAGCCTTAGGGAGCAACTAATCTCACCCTGCAGAAAGTTAAAAAGCAGTATTTGTCCAAATCTTATGAACATCATGCTTGACTATCAAAGTAAAAAATATTTCATCCCTGAAGAAGCAAAGGAGCCAGGAGGAACTGTGAATAACTGCAAACTAACAAGACAACTGAAACCATTCTGTAGGGGGCATTCTTTCAAAGCTCACCATATTTCAATGAAGGAAACTATGAGCTGTATGTATCCACCATCATTCGTACTCAGATACATTGAAATTAATGGGCATGACTAAGTTCCACTCATTTCTATAGGTCTACTCTGAGCAAAACTTAAAATACCACCTAATGTAACTGCTTCCTCAACATTAATGTAAAACTTAGGTCTGCCTGGCATACTACTGAACAGCAACCCTAACCAAACTTATCTGGAAGCAAGTTCAATTTAAACCAGTGGGATTTACATCTGAGCAAACAACAGATTCCATTTAACCAAATTCTACTCAGAGTAGACCCACTGAAATTAATGGGCTAAAGCTACTTTTGTGCTTCAATTTATAAGGGTCTACTTTAAGCATCCCTAGTAGCAGATACAACCCACTGTCAGAAATTGACTGTAGAGCATAATTTTAATGGAATAACGCTGTGGTTTGGCTTTGATGCCTACCCTAAGATTACCTTACTGCTGTGTTGCAATGAGAAAGTTCACACAAGTCAGCTAAAAGGAACCCAGACCTTTTATATTTTTGCATATTTTGCATGTTTCGATACAGGTAATAAGAAAATACCTTTAAATGTATTCATTTTTTAAAAAGGAAAGCCTCCAATACATACAGAGGAAGTAAGGAAATAATAAAACTGAATTCTGGAACGAACTTTCAGGAGTTACCGCAATCTGCATCTTCCGCTAACTTCCTTGAACAGCTGGGCATTCGTGTGTCTTTTTTAAAAATTGCCAGCTGGTCTTTAAGCCTCTTCCTTCTCAATAAGATGGAGCACACCATCTCTTCTCTTATTACCTTGTGGCATTCTCTAACTCTGAAACCAATCACAAGAGTTTTTCATTATCCACACCACACTTCTGGCTCAAATCCTCTAGACTGCATTACAGCCTTATGCTAAGGGCAGATTTATTTGTTTATTTACAAGCACAGCAAATGACCCCCCCCCCCAATATCACATCGCCCTTAGCAGAAGAGGTTGGAAGCAGGAGACAAGAGAGCCCTCTACACCACAAACGAAACTCATTTTGAGGAAGCAGTGGCACCGGGAATGATGTGTTTTGGTGGCGGCTACTTGGTTTTAAGAAAATGTCTCGCAGAGACAGATTCTCAACCCTCCCTTCAAAAGCAGACTCTTCAGCAGATGCTGGTTTTGCAAGAACCATCTCAACACAAACTCAACACAAAGTTCCAGGAAATACTGCGGTGGTTAAGTTGCAGCTGACAAAAGGAAATGGAAAAATGGGAAGGTGATGAATAGAGGGAGGTGGGGGTTGAGAAGAAAGGCAAAGAGCCTTGGGTCTTTCCCCTAAACTAGCTACTTAAGACACCAACATCAGAATGGTTTGTTAGATGGATGAATTACAGAAATTGCATCAGTAAGATCTCCCCACTCCACCCCCGCTACCTTTCAGAACACAAAGCAGTGTGGAGTTCAATACAGGATCTGCTGTACACAGCACCTCTTTCCTGCACCCGGTGCACATGTTTTTGAACGAAAAATCCTGGAGCTCAAAGCCTTCTTCAAGTCCCACCTTCGCCCCCGGAGCCCAGCACTGAGTTCGTCTACAAATGCAATAGGAAAGGAGTGGCACTCTGCACATGCTCGACAGTTGTCTTCTTTAGGGATAGGCTCACGCGTCTCAAGGCTCAGATATGGATTGCAGGGCTCAGTTAACTCCCGCGCCTCTCCGTCCTCCATCGGATTAGTTACCAAGCCTGCCCGAGTCATGCATCCCGCTGAGGATCCTGGCTACCCACATTGCTCGGAGATGGGGCAAAAGGGGCTGAAGAAGGAGCCCTGGGGCAGAAAAGCCGATAATGGCAGAGAACTAGTCAAATGACGCATCTACTCACCCGAGATCTCCGCTTGGGGCACCCCACTCGGGCTGAATCCTTTGGCCCCATAGAGTTGCCGGAGCTCGGCGCAGCTCCTCGGCTTGTTGCCGCCGTCGCTCCGAGCCGACGAGGACGACGCGGCGGCGACCCACAGCAGCCAAAATCCCCACGGGAAGAAACGCATCCTGCCCTCGTAGCCCGAAAAGGAAGGGAGAAGAACCTGCAGCGGGCGATCCCAAAGCGGCCTCGCTGTGCTGCTGCTGCTGCCGCCGCCTCTCTCTTCTCAAGACAAGGGATCCGGCGGGGTGCGGAGAGGTGAGGGAGACGCGGTCGCTCAGTCCCACCTTCCCTTGGCCATCTCCTCCCTCTGCCTGCCTTCCCAGCTCCGCTTCCAACAAGCACAAGGGGGAAACCCCCAGGGGCGGGCAAGGAACAATGCAATCCCCAGCCAAACCAAGCGGTGCAGGCGGCGGCGCAAGGTGGCCCAGAAAAGCCGCGGGGTCAAGTCGCTTCCAAGGTGGGGCGCGAGGGGGGAAGAAGCGGCCGAGGGACTCCGGAGTTTTCACTTCAGGAAAGCGGCGGCTGGAGGGCAGCGCTCGAAAAGGAGATCCCAGGGAATTAAATCCGCGCGCCGGCTGCTGCTCTCACGGCACAGACGGAGAGGAGGAGGATGAGTGTATAAGGGGCAGGTTTGCATAGAAGACCCGATCCGGTTTCCCTCCTTTTTTGTGTGTGCGGAATATATAAAAAAAATCCTCAAAACTATTGCATGGTTATTAAACGACAGGCTGCATCTCTTGACCCGAGGTGGAGAGGGAGTTGCTGGGGGTGCCAGGGAGAAATGCAAACGACTGCAAGCCTCGACGGGCAAAGTTTGAGGCTGGAAAGAAGAGGAGGAGCTGCCGATTGTTCCCAGGCAGCGGCGAACAACTGCGCGAGGCACGCGCCTCGGTGCGCGTCCGATTCGGCCGGCGAGCGTTGGCTGTAAGGAGGCGGCGGCGGCAGCAGCAACAGCAGTAGCAGCGGCACCACCTGCAAAGAAAGCCAGACCCAGAAAGAGGAGGCTCCACACAGCAAGGCAGGGCTTCCCCGCCGGACGTGGCATCACGCCTCCCGACGGCCAATCAGAGTAGGGTGTAGCGTCCCCCCCCCTTATGCGCTCCCTAACCTATGCTCCGCCCCCTCTTTAGCAACATACTCAGCCGTGGGATGTCTCCTTTCAGAAATCGCGGCTGCTCATTGTTTGAGTCGCAGGCGCCGGCCTCCCCCCCACCCCCAAAAAAAGAAGCAACCGGCGCGTTTATGCGCAGCAGCAGCAGCGAGATCCGAAGCAACGCTGCAACTTTCTCTCTTACTGCGGGACGGGAGGAAGAAAGAAGCGCTTTCTGGAACGCTCCTTCCCCCCCGCTTCTCTTTCCCATCGGAAAGCGTGGGGTCTTGCCAAAGCGAATTAAGGCTCTATCGCGAGGGGGAGGGAAGGAGGCGGAGGGGGGAATCGGGCGAGAGAGCCATTGTCAGGCTTGTCGGCAGCCACTCGCTCACGTGGCTGGCGCGCTTCTGCGAAAGAGTAAGGCAGTGGGTTTCGGGCCCATGCATTGCATGGCTGGGAGGTGAAGCGCGGTCCCCGCCCCCCTCCAACTCAGAGACCAGTAAGTGGTCTCCTTACGAAACCACATTAGTGCCGGAGTTTTCTGGGGGCGCTTTTAACAGTACAGGAGCCTGTTATGCAGCCTGTTATCGGCCCTAATAATCTCCCCGCTACGTACGCAGGAGGAGATCGATCTTGGATCTCCCCCGCTATCTGGGGATCGTGCGACGTAACTCCAAAAAGCTCCCGCCTTATAAACTGCCTCCAAAGGCTCGAGGGCAGCAGCTATTGTTCCATCGTCACCGCATCGCCTTAAGATCGTGATTGACTGGCTTACGACGCGTTGATTCCGATCAGGAGCTGCTCTAAAAAACATACAGTATTCGAATTGACACAGCACTTTTATAGTCCTGGTTTCCAGACAGGGATATTCGTTCTGAGTCAGAGGGTTCTGTAGATCCAAAACAATAGGAAGGCAGGGGAGAGTGAGCAAGGGCAGACATATCCAGAGTTGTCTCCCAATAGGTGCTTCGTTCCCCAAGTAAGCAAATGTGTCAATATCAGTACTTTGCTGCAGTATCAATTGTTTAAAAAGTTAGACAACCAGATACAGAACAAGAGCAGCCTGTGCCCTGCAGGGTGCACAGTTTGCCACAGTGCTGTGGGAGCAGGCTGCAGCGAACCAGTGCAGTTGGCCACAAATTAGACTTCTGTGAGGTTTCTGCCAAAAAAGGAGAGAGAAAAAGACATTTACTATATCAGGGGAAAGGGATGAGTATGGCGCTGTGGTCTAAACCACAGAGCCTAGGGCTTGCTGATCAGAAGGTCGGCGGTTCGAATCCCTGCAATGGGGTGAGCTCCCGTTGCTCGGTCCCAGCTCCTGCCCGCCTAGCAGTACAAAAGCACATCAAGTTCAAGTAGATAAATAGGTACCACTCGGGCGGGAAGGTAAACAGCGTTTCCATGCGCTGTTCTGATTCACCGGAAGCGGCTTAGTCATGCTGGCCACATGATCTGCGGACAAACACCGGCTCCCTCGGCCTATAGAGCGAGATGAGCGCCGCATCCCCGAGTCGTCCGCGACTGGACCTAATGGTCAGGGGTACCTTTACCTTTCTATCAGGGGAACTGCAGTGGACTCCTAGTTTACCAAGGGGGACTGATTGTTAGTTATGGTAGAAGGAGAATAGAATTATATCCGTGCCGTTGCACTTGTGCACAAACGGCTGCAATCTTACGCACACTCACCTGGGAGTCAGTCCCACTGAATATCACTTCGAAGCAAATATGCCCAGGATTGCTCAGCTAGAGGCAATGAGTTCACTGAGGCCTAGAAGCACAGCTAATTAGTGCAACTAATCCCCACAGATTCAAAATGTCAGTGGCCGCTCAAAACATCTCTGCTCTGAGGCCAAGGGGCTCAAGGTCTAAAAGCAAGCCTTAGAATCTTAGCAGCATCTCAAAAACGGATAACACTCAGGGGAAGAGAAGCTGTTGGCTGCTCCAGGTTGAGGAGACCTAATCACAGCCCTACAAGAGGAAAAGGGTAAATATAGGTAAATTACAAAACGGGAGACCAAAGAAGGAGTGGTCCCCAAAGAGTCATTTCTCTCTCTGCCAAGTCACGGATTTTACAGAAAAGTGGCATGTCTAGCAGGTTCTCCATCATTCCTGGAGGAAAGGAAACGGGCACCTTACTGTTTCTGGTACGAAAGGCCAACAATTGCCTTTTGTTTCGTTTTGGCCTGTCATCATTGCAGCTTGGGTGTCTTGGGACTGTTATTGACCCATTCCGCTGTGAATAATCACAAAAGGGAGCAACTTCTCTGCACTGGCTCCCTTTTTACAGAACCAGCTTCCCTCTGTGCTCTGAGAAGCAGCAAAACTGAAGACGTTTTAGTGCTTCTTTAAAATATACTTAGAGGAATTAAACATCCAGGGGGAAAGCTTGAGCTTGGTCAATGTGCCCTGTTGGGTTATCAGCACTTTGTTTAACTGTATTGCAATTTTATTGTTTGAATTTTCCTTATATATCTATGTACCCCACCTTCAGACTTAGTGTAAGTGGTACATGAATATTTATATAAATCAAATTATAAATAAGTGCATTCTGTTGACAAACACACATACAGGACACAATATCATGTGGCTGTCCTTGTTTATTTTTGGGTTTACAGTGGTACCTCGGGTTAAGAACTTAATTCGTTCTGGAGGTCTGTTCTTAACCTGAAATGGTTCTTAACCTGAGGTACCACTTTAGCTAATGGGGCCTCCTGTCATGCCACCGGCATGCAATTTCTGTTCTCATCCTGAAGCAAAGTTCTTAACCCGAGGTACTATTTCTGTATTAGCGGAGTCTGTACAGTGGTACCTCGGGTTACATACACTTCAGGTTACATACGCTTCAGGTTACAGACTCCGCTAACCCAGAAATAGTGCTTCAGGTTAAGAACTTTGCTTCAGGATGAGAACAGAAATCGTGCTCCAGCAGCGCAGCAGCAGCAGGAGGCCCCATTAGCTAAAGTGGTGCTTCAGGTTAAGTACAGTTTCAGGTTAAGAATGGACCTCCGGAACGAATTAAGTACTTAAACCGAGGTACCACTGTACAAGTGTTTCAAGGCATTATATTGCTCCTTCACACTGAGTAGGATGCTCATTTTTAAGAGAGCCTTTTCTGGGGTGGGGGGACACAGCGTTTTGAATAAAAGGACAGGACTGGATAATCAAGGTGAAAAAAATATACAGTGGTGCCCCGCAAGACGAATGCCTCGCAAGACGGAAAAAGCGCTAGACGAAAGGGTTTTCCGTTTTGAAGTTGCTTCGCAGGACGAATTCCCCTATGGGCTTGCTTCGCAAGACGGAAATACCTTGCGAGTCTAGAGATTTTTTTTTCGCTTTTCCCCCCCTTTATCTAATCTGCTAAGCCTTTAATAGCCTTTAATAGCCTTTTAGCAGCTAATCCCCTAAGCCTTTAAGCCTTTAATAGCCGCTAAACAGCTGATAGCGCTAATAGCGCTAATCCGTCAATGGGCTTGCTTCGCAAGACGAAAAAACCGCTAGACGAAGACTCTTGCGGAACGGATTAATTTCGTCTTGCGAGGCACCACTGTAAACGTAATGGCTCATAGATGTTAGATTTCAGCAACCTACAGTCACTTAAGTGAAACGGTAATTGTCCCTTAAGAGACCTAGAGGAGAAAAAAGGAGGGGGCAAAAGAGCACATGAAAGAAGGAGGTGTATAAAGAGAGAGAGCAACAAAGAGAAAGCCAGTGACACAGAGCGAAAGACAGAAAATCCATCCGGCCACAAAGAGCACTGCTCAGTCAGTCACTAAGGGAAAACGCTGTCTCCTGAACAGCTGATTCAGGCATTACAATGTGATGGGGTGATAGACAGGGGCCATAGCACTTGGCACAAGGTAGGAGTAGGCATCACAGAAAGAACAATCTGTGGTGTCTAAAAAGCAAGGGGAACTCCGCAGGCCTGGGCAGAAAAAGTAAGCATACAAAGACATGCACGAAGGGAAACTACAACATTAATACCAAGTCTAGGTGGGGGGCAGGGAGGACTTCGGGGTGATTGCATTGTTCGAATGACTGAA